TCCTCCCATCAGAGGCCATCGTGCCTGCAACCTGTCTCTGCCCACCAGGGAGGCGTGCCCAAGTGTTCAAGGCCCTAACAGGGCAGCTTGCTGAGCAGAGCAGGTGCACCTAGATTCCTGAGAACAGGTGGCCACTGGCTCTGGGCCCCTGAGAGCCCACAAAGCCCTGGGGGCATTGCTCGTGGTGAAACATGAGGAGCCCAGTCACCTCCCTGCTACAGGGGAGTGGACTACAGGCCAAGGCTCACCCAGACTTCACTGCTTCTACACTGTGTGTCCTTGTGCCAGCCACCTCCCTTCCTTGAGCCTCAGGTTAGCATCTCTAAACTTGGGTTATCCCTGGAACCCTGGATTGAGAACTCCCTTAGAAAAGGGCCAGGTCGGCCGGGCAGTGGTGGCACACGCCTTTAATACCAGTGCTTGGGAGGCAGAGACAGGCAGATCTCTGTGAGCTGAAAGGCAGCCTGGTTTACTGAGGGAGTTCCAGGACAGCCTCCAAAAGCTACAAGAAACTGTCTCAAGAAAGAAAGAAAGAAAGAAAGAAAGAGAGAGAGAGAGAGAGGGAGGGCACACACAGACACACTGAACTACTTAGCTACCTAGTGATGACTAGTCTTGGCTGCCAACTTGACTGCATCTAGAACTAACTAAAACCCAAGCAGCTGGGCACATCTGTGAGGGATTTTTCTTAATTAAATCATTTGAAGTGGGAAGAAAGGCCTACTTTAAATCCGATCTTTTGGGGTGGGAAGACACATCTTTAACCTGGGCCATACCTTCTGCTGCAGCCTGTCTATATAAGGACACAGAAAAAGGAGGCTTGCTCTCTTTGCTGCTTGCTCTCCTTTTTTTTTTGCTGGCAAGTCCATTCCTTCACTGGCATTAGAGTCTACTTCTTTGGGATTCCAGCATGTTAAAGACCAGCAAAGACATCCGGCCTCATGGACTGAACAACTACTGGATTCTTGGGCCTTCCATCAGAAGACAGCCATTGTTGGACAAGCTGGACCACAGCCTGAGAGCCATTCTAATGAATCCCATATGCATGCATGCATACATACACACACACACACACACACACACACACACACACACACACACACGTCTGAGAGATCCACTCTTTAAGTTCTGTTCCTCTGGAGAACCCTGACTAATACAACCCTTATCCTGCAATCAAGGGTCACTCTCTCCACACTTGGGCTCCAATGATGATATCTTATTCATCATTGTTATCACCATCATAATCTTCAAACCAAAGAAGTCCCAGGACCTTTGCCCCTGCCTGAAACTCTCCTCTGATTCTTCCACAGGCTCCACTGTTGGTCACTCCCTCAAAGCAGCCCTTGCTGACCACCTGACAAGAAGCAGCCCCCACACATCCCCCTACCCCTCCCACATCCCTCTACCCCCACCCCATCCTCACCCAGCTCCCTACTCCACAGCGCTCACTAACATCCAGAAGTCTCTTTTCTGAGCCTGGCTAATGATCAAGTATCTGGTTCCCACACTGGCACAAGCCTTAGAAGCACCACATCTGCCTGGTCCACTACTGTCACTCAACAGTCTAAAGAATGAAGGCTCCCAAACAGGTTCCGATGGGTGGATGAGTGGGTGGAAAAATAAACACAGCTATCATACTGAGTGTCTGACTACTTGTTCCTAGTCTAGAAATGAAAGCAAATTTGGAGTTTCACATAAATTAATAAGTCAGGCAGGATATATGTGTGGGATGGATGGTGGATGGCTGGACGGATGAGTGATGGACAGATGGATGGAGGGGTGGGTGGATGCATGCATATGTGAATGGGTGATCATTAGGAACAAGGATGAACACAAAACAGTGTTCCGAACAGTACAGAACCTCTGACACAGCTGGCAGCATGGGGTCACCTCTAGCAGACAAATCTTCGTGTGGCTAGTTCAATCCAGAAAGGAACTGTGATCAGCTCCAGTTGAAGTCGCTGTCCCTAGCCCTCTTCACCCAAGAGTGAAAAAGACAGGAGGCGGCCCATGCTGGTGGGTGCTGACCTCACAAGGCAGGGTGTGCTCAACCCGGCTACCACTGGTGTCCACCCCTCATGTCCCTACGCCCAGTGTGCCTAGTGCATCACCCTGGCTCACTCACTCAGGCATAGCAGGTTACTGCAGGCTCCTGACTGCCTGTCCCTGCAATCCAGCCTGGCCTCACCTCTTTGAGGCCTGCTCCCACAGCAGACTGGCCCTTAAAAGTTGACTAAATCCCCAGACATGCCCCAGTACCCCCTGTACTACAGACCCCAAGAAGGGAGTTTCTGAGCTTTGAAATCACACAGTGGACACATGAGGAAATGAGCACATGGCTAAATAAGCCAGGAAGTGCTGGCTCGTGTTTGGTCATGAGGAGGCCATTCTTGGACTTTCCAGAGGTCCATGCCACTGTGGGAACCCTATAAGTGCTGACTTATGACCTCACGGTCACAGGAGGGGCTGCTGGGTAAACTGTGCCCTAGGCCAGGGTCCACACTGAGTCATCATGCTCTATAACCCCTAGGAGACCATAAGCCATGGGCAGAAGGGTGCCCCACCTGTGGGAGGGTTCACCACAGGACAAGGAAAAGACATTCCCCACCCAGGCCTCAACTGAACTCCTAAGGCTGGGGACATTTTCCTTCAGCAGTAGGACAGCTTGCAGGAATAGACAACAGCAGTGACAGCAGCAAGCAGCTGTTCTGCAGCTGGCTGTGCCAGCACCCATTGTGGGTAGAGCAGAGTGGCCTGCCTCCCTCCACCCTACCGGGCAGCCAGTAGGAAGTCCCATGACTGGCAGCAGTGGGAGTGGCCACACAGATTCACTGACTCAATGAGCCCTGGGGATCCCAGGCTGCTTAAGAGTGAGACACACAGAACAACCCACAGACAACCTTGGCTGAGCCCCAAGCTGAGTCCCAGGACTCTGAAGGGGCTATGATGACAGGGAGGTGGCAGGAGCTGGAGAGGGAGCAAGGTGAGTACTGACAGCCTGCCCAGCACAGTCTTGGGGGAAGAGTGGTTCAAGTCCCAGGCAACACATGTGGGCCCTTGTTGTAGCTCTCCTTAATGCTGTGTGGCCTGAGGCAGGTGACTGAGCTCCTCTGAGCCTTGCTTTTTTTTTCAGCAGGATGGAGTTTATTTACCCTGAAACAATCGAGATATGTGAACCCAGATGAATAAGCAACAGTGTGAAGTTATGAACAAATGAGGACAAACAGCCAATGTACATGAGAGTCCCCCGACCATCTCAGGTGACAGTTGTGTAACTGTCACCTGGAAGGCCATCCTAATCAAGTTGAATGCTCTCTGTGGGCCTCAGTTTCTCCACTTCTTCAGGATGAAGAAAGGGAGGAGGAGGAGAGGAGAGGACAGCGAGGGAGGAGGAAAGGGACCTCCAAGCCTAAGAACTAATGAGAAGTTATCATTTGCTCTGAGACCAGACCAGCTCTGCCCCAACAGAACTCCAAACTGAGTCCCCAGAGACCAAGGCAGCTGAGCTGGTCTTTCACTTCAGATGCTCCAGGTCTGTGTGTCCATCACAGGCTGTGGGAGGAGTCAAGAAGGGGTGGGCACTGCTGCCCCCTTGTGGTTGCTTCCTAACACTGCAGGCATGAGACCAAAGAGAGCCCAGTCCTGCAGGTTGGGTCCGGCCTGCAAGCGAGGAAGTCCCAGAGGCCTCACTCAGGCCAGGCACAGGGGCCCCAGAGCCAGATAGAGGAGGCAAGGCAAGCCACCCAGGACTCCTGGGACAAAGGTTCCTCAATGACATAGAGGAAAGAGGAGGAGTCTGCAGCCAGGGAGGACTCCGGCAGGCCAGGAACTATAAATGCTTCCACACCTTTTCTCCCCATAACCTTTGCCTTCACCAGCACACACAGAAGTTCACACTAGATCAGATTAAGGGAGGCTGTGCCACCTGAGAGGGACTGGAGACAAGGGTATCTGAGGAGGAAGGTCAAGTGTCACACGCCTGTACAACTGCCAGAGGCACTCAGTGGATATCCCACCAGGCCCAAGACCAGCACCCTCTGACCATGTGACTCCACCCCACAATAACAGCAAATACCCCCATTTTATAGCTAAGGACACCAAGACTCTGAGAAGGGAAGTCTCTCCCTAGACCATAGTGGTGGAAGGGAATATGAGGTGGAACTCAAGCCACCCTGCTCAACAGCCACCCTGGGCCACGCCCACCAGGGACCTTCTGAGCAAGGAGAAAACTCAGTCCATTTACAGATAGCACAGACATCATCAAAATCACCAGAGCCGCCTGGGTGGCTCCCAGGGTCAAGGGCTTCCCAAGAAGCATGGTCCTTTTCTCTAGTCCTTCCTAAGCCAGCATGAAGCCCGAGAGAGGAAGGGACAGCCACAGAGACACAGCCAACAACCTGCAGCCAGGTGGTGCGGCGGCATGTCCACTGGGTACTCAGAACCAGGCAAAGCCCCTTTTGTGCCACCTCCTCGGAGCCTACACCAGCCATGTGAAGTGGGGGTTCTCATCTCCCCACTGTATGGACAGGAACAGAGGACACATGTGTATGGTGACCATGGTCTCCAAGTCTGGAATGGCTTTCTACAGCCTCCTAATGTCCCTCATGGGGTATATTTTTCTCTGGACTGACTCCCTCAGGATTCAACTACATCCTCAAACTGGCGCCAACAACAGGAGTCACTAACCCGGCTTTCCCCGCAGAGAAAAATCAAAAGGCACAGACACTAAACTCTCAAAAATCTCAAGGCTGTTGAAAAGACACGGTGCTGCAACTTGAACCCAAGACTCCCATCAACATCCATTGGCCAGCTGTTGAGTTACAGCACCACCTGGTGCCAAAAATCCAAAAGCTACAAGGGTTTCCCCAGCACAGAGGGTCTGGGAACCCAGTCCCCAGCCGGTCACCCATTCTCAGCCTGAACCCTCCACACATCCACAGAAATCTTCCAACACAGATGACACCCGCAAGTCCCTCTCCAGCCATGCAACTGCCACTCACCACAAAGGGACCGCTCCTCTTGTCCTTGCAAAAGCTGTGACTTCGCCTGGGGACAGAGGCAACAGGGGATACCTGTCGGAGAGGCTGCTGGCCGTCCTGCAGACATTCCCCCTGCTCCAGGTTCTGCAGAGACACCTGAGACAGAGAGCACAGGAAATGGATTTTAGTGAGAGCCCTTCACGTACAGGATAGGTATTATTCTGGGGATAAATACAAAACCACCAGAAACCCCCCACCGTCATGGTATCTAGGTATCAGGTCTTGGGCCCAAGTGGCCCAGCTTCACAGCTGCGGGACATCAAGCAATTCTTTAACCCCCCTGACCTCAACTGTAGGGGCAGAAACAAGAGTAAACAGAAAGAGGCACTGGCTCAGAACCTGCAAGACATAGTCTAGCCACCAGGGGGCAGTGTGCCTGGCTCATGTGCCTAGTCCACTGGGCCTCCAGCCTGCCAGCCCCACCATTGCCCACAGTGATCCTGTGGTCCTAGTTTGAACATTCTTCCTTGCACCCAAACACACCCTGGGAAACAACAGGAAGAAGGAAAAGCCCAAGGGTATGCAGTCTGAATCCTGCAGTGTTTTCCTCTCTGAGGAACCCATCACAACCTAGCAAACTCAGGAGTCCAGGAAGTTTTACACAAGCACACTCCACACAGATAAGCCAGGAGGCCCAGAGAGGGCAGGTACCTGGTTGCCAACACACAGCATCAGGAAGGGCAAGGCTAGCCCCTTTCCTCCCATCCCCCTGCTCGACTCCTTAGCCCCACCCTCTCCAGCTTGCCTTCCCTTCCTGGCTACTTTCTTGAATTCCTTCAACACCCTAACCCTGCACTGAGCCTTCTCTTCTGATACTGTGCCCTGTCTGCTGGGTTCATTTCCATGACCCCACCCCACCCCTGTGGCATTAGATAAATCCCACCCACATTTCACTCTGCCCTGTCGGTGTTGGGACCCAGTCTGGAAGGTCAATCAACACCCAACAAAAAGTATAAAATGTATTGAACTGAGGTGAGGAATGGCAAGGAATTCCCAGGCTGATACTTTTTTATCTTCAAACAGACCCTTTGTCCTGAAGTTGAAGGGCTCCTGTGGCAGCAGTGGACATGAACACAACTTCCTGAGGGAAACTGTGGGGTAGATTACACATCAGACTCTTTTGCTATTGTAAATATTAATTAACCATAAAATTAAGTAAATTCCTGTACACCAAAAACAAAAACAAAACAAAAGCAAACAAACCAAACTTCATACCCTGGTCCAAAACCAACTCAAACAAAGATCTTAATGGAGAAGCTGGAAGCAGAGAACTTAGAAGGAAGCAAGGACACCAATCTCCACAGCCTCGCACGACACAGAAAACACAGGAACAAAAGAGAAAAAGAGTGGCTAGAGAGAGAGCAAAGTGGTTAAGAGTACTGGCTGCTCTTCCAGAGGTCCTGAGTTCTATTCCCAGCACCCACATGGTGGCTCACAACCATCTGTAATGAGATCTGGCGGCCTCCTCTGGCCTGCAGGCATACATGCAGACAGAACACTGCACATAATAAATAAATAAATCTTAAAAGGCAAAAAAAAAAAAGAGAGAGAGCCGGGCGTTGGTGGCGAACGCCTTTAATCCCAGCACTCTGGAGGCAGAGGCAGGTGTATCTCTGTGAGTTCGAGACCAGCCTGGTCTACAAGAGCTAGTTCCAGGACAGCCTCCAAAGCCCCAGAGAAACCCTGTCTCGAAGAGAGAGAGAGAGAGAGAGAGAGAGAGAAAGACTTAGTCAAACTGGAAAATGCATGTACTTAAAGGACACCATGAAGAGAGTGAAGGATCCACTCACAGAAACGAAGAGAGATTCCTCAAATTATTTGTCTCGCACTCACACAACATATAAAGAGCAATGGCAACTCAACAACAAGGAAACAAGTCAACAGAAAATGGAGCAGGAGCCAAACAGTAATTACTCCAAAGAATTATGCCAACAGCCAAGTGAGCACAGGATGCCAGGCTAAGGAGAATCATTAGGAGCAGAGAGCCACAGCCACCAAGTCCTCAGCTTGCCCAGATGACGAGCAGATGAGGGTGGCTTATAAAGAGCAGAACTTCCTGGGGGTGACACAGGCAGTCCCCGGCATGGACTGTGTCTGGATGTGCTGCAGGGTGCTGCACTGTGCCCTTGAATGGCACAACTGTCACGAAGCTGCATCTTGAGGCAGAAAGAACACTGCTGAAGGGCACCCTCCACAGAGCCCCCCCCCCCCGATTCCCCAGGACAAGACCACCTGTGCCGTATGTCTCCCACCTCCTCCCCCAGTCCTGGCTGGCCTGGGTCTCTCCTGTCCCTCACAGGGCCCCTTTCCAGTATGTTCCCCATCCTCCGGCACCCTCTTCTGCCTGCCAGGACCTGCCAGGTCCTGGGTGACCTCACTTGCTCACTGGCTTCAGGTTGCTTGTACCTATTCAGCCACTAGAATGTTCTACAGAACCAACACAGTCATGTGAGCTTGAACATGGCCAGGGTGACAGAGAAATTAGGTTTGAATCTAATTTAAACTAATTAACACACAAACAGTACCTGCCACACTGCCTGGGAGTCAAGGAGCTTCAAATATGGGTGGTTCTATTCTTCTTCTGCCATCCTCCTGCCTCAGCTACCAGAATGATGCTTCACCATGCCTAGCTAGAACACTCCTTTTTCCCCTTATAACTGAATAGTATTCCACTATAGGGCTACACTATGTTTTATCTTCCCAAGGACCTTTCCCTGAGACAGGATCGCACACAGTCCAGGGTGGATCTCTGGAAGATGAACTCCTGATCCAGGCACATGTCACCACGCCTGGCCGGCACTTTTATCACATGTGCTCTATAAGCAAAGAGCAGGGCAGGGACACTGTGCAGAAGTCCAGGCTCTAAGAGGCATTATATGATCTTTAATGTGCATTTATTATTGCTGCCTGTCCGTGACATGAGAGGGCGGGAGCATGTGTGTCACGGCACATGTGGAGGTCAGGAGTCCATTCTCTTCTTCTACCTTTACAAGGGTCTCGAGGATCAAATCCAGGTGGCCAGGCTTGTAAAAAGGGACCTTTACCCCACTGAGTCACCTCACCAGCCCCTTTTTATTTTATGTTTATTTTCAGGTTGGGGGTGGTACACAGGAAAGTCAGAACAGAGCTCTGTACAGTCAGTTCTGGCCTCCCATCATGGGGAATAGAACTTGGGTCCTCAAGCTTACCCACGCCACAGGATTTTAAAAGCAGGTGCAGGCTGTGGGGTCAGCAGAGTCCTCAGCTTCCAGAGTTACCTACTGTGTCACACCCTACACCAGAGACTTTAGCCTAACTGGTCTGGGATAGGGCTGGGCCTGGATGCCATGATGAACTCTCGGTTTTGTACCCAGCTGTCACCGAGTGTCAAAACCCTTTCTCCCACAGGAAGGGATGAAAACAAACCAGACTAAGCTTCCTCATCCCTGTGGTCTCTGAAAGCTATTGCAAAAGAGTTGGGGCCATAAAAGAACCCAAGCCATCCCTGAGAGTGGAGGAGAATGATGCTGCTGGGGAGGGGTGAGGTAGAGTTCAGCATTTCTATCCTGAAAGCGCACTTGAGGTCAAGCTAAACTACTAAAGTAAATGAAATACTATCACCTGGCCCTAGACAGAATTTTCATAAATGTTAAGTAAAAAAGAAAGAGAGCTGGGCCTGGCAGTGTAGGCCAATAACCTCAGCTACTGGAGGGTAAGGGAGAGGAGGGGAGGGGAATGGAGAGCCCTGAGGCAGGAGCATTGCAAATTCAAGACTTGCTGGCCAAAGAATGAGTAAAGGCCAGCCTGTTGCATACATGGCCAGAACCCGAGGCCTCACTCATGTGCCAGGCAAGTGCTGTGCCACTGAATCGAACCACCGGGCCTCTTTTTACTTTTCATTTTGACACAGGGTCTTGCTAAATTGCCAAGGCTGGCTTTAAACTCCTGTAGACCAGCTGGACCTGAAGACCAGCTGGACCTGAACTTCTGATTCTCCTGTAGGGGGAGTAGTAAGTTTGGGGGTGTGTATGTGTGATGTATGTATGTGGGGAAGTAGTATGTGTGGTGTGTGTGTGTGTGAGTGTGTGTGTGTGTGTGTGTGTGTGAGTGTGTGTGGGGGGGGGGAGTAGTATGTTTGGGGTATGGGTATGGTGTTTGGTGTGTGTGTGAGCATGCCCATGGAATATTCCTACCTCCTGAGACACACAGTGAAGTCCCAAGGCCGCAAATGTCCTTACCAACCACACGGGAGGAAACACTCCCTTCTCTCCCTGCCCCTGTGAGGTTTGTATATTTTAACGTTTTGAGTACCCCTGTGGCTTCCTGTTTTCACTCATTTGCTTGTTTTTGTTTAAGATCAAGAACCAGAGTGAGATGGACAGCAAGTGCAGGTAAGGGGCAGGAGGGGCAGGACTGAAGACAGCCTGTGCTACAAGACCCTGACCCCAAAGCCAACAAAACGAAGGCCTTCCCGAGGAAGAGAAGGGAGAAGCAGGAAGCTGGTCTCTCCATCCCTCAGCCTTGAGAAAGCTGATCCCTGACAACCAGCCCTCCTGGGGCCTGGGCACTCCACAGCCCTGGCTCTCCTGTTGCCAGCCAGACTGAAGTGCCAGTGAGCTGAGGAAGTGTCACATTCCACAGCTCTTCCCCACAGGCTGCTCCAGCCGTTAGAGGGAGGGTGAGCTGGGTAGCCCTCACAGAAGCACACAGCCTGCTGAAGCCTACAGCTCCCCACAGCAGGGCTTAAGGTGGGGATCTGTCGTCAGTCCTGAGTGGTGTGGGCACAGGAGGCACCAGAGGCATGAGGAAGTTCCATGGCAAGCATGGAAGGTTCACAGTGGCACTTGGCAAGTTCCCCAGGAGAGACACAGGTTCGAAACCCCATCCCCCCACACTCCTCACCATAACTCAGGAATTCTCAACTGGTGGCCTCCCCTGACTTCCCTCACAGCCCCCTTTGCACAGGGGGGCTAGCGGCCCTGCAGGCTAGACCCCTGGAGTTCCTCTCCCACAGGGTTAGGGATGAGAAACTTTGCTGCAATCTTCGGTTGTGCTGTACTTTGAAGACACCATGACCTGAAACTCCAGGATAACATGGAAGGGAACTCTAAGAAGGAGCCAGTCATGGGCTGAGGCTTCACAGTGGCAGGAACTGTGGGAAATAAGTCTCTCTTCCAGAAAGCATCCAGACTCTGGTGTCTTGTTACAGCAAAAAACATTGTGCCAGCTAGGCTGCTGCCTCCAGCTGAATCAGTAAACAAAGGCTATGTGGGGCTACAGGCCTCTGTCCCTTCTGTGGCCATCGCAGCGCACACGCACACACACACACACACACACACACACACACACACACACCCTGCTCACCCATCAGTGTCTCCTCAGACACTGGCTGAATTCAATGCCTCCCTGGCTCACTCTTCCAGCAGCTCACTGAGCATCATGTAACTTCCTGGCCTTGGGTTCCAGGGCCCCATCACCGAACCGAGGCAAAAATCTCCCCAAGGGCTGTGCTGGGCTTCAGATTTCCTCCCTGCTTTTACCACAGTGGCCATCATCTCATAGGCATCTGACCAGATCTGGGCTCAAGCATCTTTAGCCTTTTGCTATGTGACCTGTAAATAGGTTGCTTAGTCTTTCTGAGCCCTGTTTTTGTGTTTTGTGTTTTTCTACCTATGTCATGCCTGTAGCAGACCTTGGCAGCTCCCTAATACTCCGGACACTCAAAATGTGAGCTGGTGGAAAGCTGGTCCCACTGTGTGTATGTCCTACTGTGTGCAGATGGCCTTGCTGTCCAATAATAATGGTGAAGTCTCACACTCAAAGCCCCAGACACAGGCTTAGAGAACAACAGGAGGAAGTAGAAAATGCAGTTATGGCCCTCTGATCCTTGACCTGGTCAACTCAGTTGTGTGATGGGCTTCCCAGAGGTTCCCAGGGCACCAAGTCTCAGTTGCTCACACTGGTATCAAATTTCTTGTCACTTCCCAGTCCCCAGCCAGTCAGTCCTTTCGACACCAAAGACAGGCCCTGACTCTGGGGGAACCCAGAGCTGGGGTGTGCCATCTCGTAAGACTCGGTGGACATCTTACAATCATTCACTCACACGCCACAGATTTTCTGGAAGCTCACATTGTTGCTGGCTCTGGTGAAGACAGCGGGGAAGTTGGCATAGAGCAGGCGCTCCACAATGCTAACACAAAATGCTTACTCTCGTCCCCATCCTGGGCTGAGTTTTCAATCCATAACCCATAGTCAAGCAGACAGAGCAGGGGACTAGCTTGGGTGGGATGGAGTGACATTTTCTAACAAACCATCTTGTTTCACGGTAAATTCCACCTGAAAATGTGAATTTCTCTGAGTAAATGATGTCACTTTCTCAACATTGTCACAGGACAAAATGGCCAGGAGTTGGGGCTAAGTACTAGCTTTGCATGCTCTGCCCAGTAAAAGAAGGGAAGGGAAGGGAAGATAAAGGAGAAAACAGAAAACCTGAAGAGCCTGAAAGCAAACACGCACACACCTGTCCTGACGGTTTGCCTGAATGTTCTGCTCTCCATCACTGCCTAGAACAGTGCCCTAGGCCTGCCTCCATTCAGTCACACACCTACACACACAGCCCATGACATCTGAGCTGTGTCATAAACAGCATTAAAAATTAAAATGACAGGCCAGGCAGTAATCCCAGTACTCTGGGAGGCAGAGGCAAGTGGGTCTCTGTGAAGTTCAAGACCAGCCTGGTCTACAGAGTGAGTTCCAGGACAACTAGGACTACACGGAGAAACCCTGTCTTGAAAACCAAATAAATAAATAAACAAGCAAACGAATGAATAGATGAATGAATGAATGAATGAATGAATGAACTAACAAATGAATAAAATGACAGAATTGAAAGTACCTCTTTACTCGCCTTAGGGCCATCTGACTTCCTCGCCTCCTTTCGGCAGGGCCCTGATGTGGCCTTGGGAGTCTCAGCCGGCAGAGTTGGCTTCCCTCTGGGCTGTTCTCGTCTCCGCTGCCTGGCATCCTGCATGATGGACAGGCCCTCCAGGACCCTGGCTGGTGGGCCCTTCTCTGAGCAGGCCCTCTTGATGACCAGTGGTGCCCAAACACAGTCATGTGGAGGGTTTCCCCGCTGCACCCCATTGCCCTCTACCCCCTGACCAGTGGATCTCTTTGGCATCCCTTTCTTCTGGTCAGAGGGAGGTGACCTGGGGCAGATTCTGTCCTCGATGCCTGGTTCCTGGGACTTGGCTGGGCCTTGCTTACACTTTGCTTCCTGGTGCTCACTGGAGGAGGACTTGCTTTCAAACTCAGTGATGCCTGTGGACTTTCTCCTGGAGCCAGTGGGGACAGGGGAGAGTGAGGGACAGTTTTCCGCAAAAGCTGAGTGTGGTGGTGCCCACAGTGGCAGGCCAGACTTGGTGGTCATGGCTGCCCCTAGGGACTCTGTCGGCTGCTTGCTAGGGCCAGGGGACTGGGGAGTTTTCACAGAGGCCCCTGCTTGTTTCCCAACACTATCTGATCGGGGAGCTTCCTTCAGGCTCCTCCGCCGCCACTCTGCCTCCTTGGGCCAACCTGATCTCTCCTGAGGAGAGCCACTGGACTCCACAGGAGGACTGTCCCTCTGTTCCTGGGCCTTGCTGGGGACTCTGCTTGAGTGCTCTTTGTACTCAGCCATCAGAGCATCAATGTCAAGGACCCCAGACCTGTAGCCATCTCTCATCTTCCCTGGGAACGTCTCGCTGATCACCTCTGTTCTCCTTCTAACTAGGAGACTTTTGGGGCGCCTCAGGACTGGGGAGGTTTGTGGGGCATCTACTCCTGAGGATGCCCTGATCCTGCTGTCCTTCAAGGTGCCATCTTCTGAGACACAGTGAGTCCCCAGAGCATCCACATCAATGACTCTGTCCCTGGAAGGATCCAGAGTCCTGTCCCCAACAGATGATGGCTGATCTGTGGCCTTCGGGTATTTTGGAAGGCTCTTTACTTCTTCATATTCTCTCCCCTTAGCCCAGCCCTTACTGCTGGCAGGAGCCCACAGCTCTTCGTGGCTAGGAGAAGTCACAGTAGACACAAAAGAGCGAGGTGACAGAGGGGGAGCCATTCTCCTAGAAGGTTCTGAAACATTTTCAGGGCCTGGCTTAACCACACTCTTGGTCTTTTGAATATCAGGAATCTGATAAGTGACCGCAAAGAAAGTTGCACTGGGTTCAGTAGATGGCCCCGGCTTCTCCACTGGATAAGTCACCTCCCGAGTTTGTGTCTGGTGGTAGGACAATGGAGGTCTCTTTAAGGCACAAGATGGGGAGGTCACATCACCTGCAAGTCTCTGTTGCCTTTTGGAAGTGTTCTCTGGAGTGAGGAGGCTGAATTCGTCAAACTTCACATCGTGGGGCAGAGTCCGCCGCCTCCACCTGTCCATTCTCGGCTCCGAAGTGTTGGATCTCCTCATTCTGACTTCGGGCTGGAACGCCTGGGCCGGTCTTGGGTTATCCTCATAGGCAACTTCAAGGGAACTTTTCGGCAGAGACAATGAGTCCTCCCTCCATACAAGGGAGTCACCAGGCTCAGTGGTGGCCCTGGATGGAGGATTTGAAGAGCAATCCCAGGATGGACCCCTTTGGGGGCCACTAAGATCTTTGCTAACCACAGAGGTGCTGTGCCAGCTTGCCACCACCCCTTCTCCTGTCCATTTGGAGGATGGGCAACCATCCCCAAATCCATCCCTTGGCTGTTGACAGTCAAGCTTTGGTCCACTGGCCTCCTGACCCCGAGCTTCCCATATTGAACTTGCCCTTTGGATGGTACCCCCATGAGCCTGCAGAGCATACTCCAGGTAAGCAGGGCTGATCTCCTGGGACAGCTGCTGGCCCTGCAGTGAGAGCCGGGGTCTGGCACTGCGCAGCGTCACGGCCTTCTCCTCAGGCACCCTGGAAACTGCTTCGCTGTGTGCTCGCTCCCCTGAGGCATGAACAATGTCATACTTGGGCTGGATCCTCTGGGACACAGGGGGACTTTCTAGATGCCTCAGGACAGAGTGACCATTGTGCCCTTCTCCCATGGGGTGTGTCTCCGGGACAGATGTGGGATACTGTCTTGGCTCTACATCTACAGCTCGTCCCAGCATCCCCTGGTCAGCATGCTCAGACCACCTGGAGCTGTCTCTCTTGTTCATCACTGCTGGAGGGTCCTTCCCTAGCCAATAGCCTTTCTCAGGCCTGGGTTTAGGATCTTGGATGTCAGTCACATCATGAGGGGGTATAGGTGAGAGACAATTGCCTGCCTGGTCAACCACTGTGTGTCTCTCCACATGATGCTCAAATACTGTGGCCCACACCTTCTGAAAGCTCCCATCACCTTCTGGACTGACTTCAGAAGGGCCTGGGTCTCCCATTGAGTGTGCACGTTGACACCTGTCAGGATCTTCCTGGTCAGAGGCATTTTTGGGTTCCATCTGCCTAGACTTCTGGGGCACCCCAGACTTCCAGGGACTTTTTGCAGCCGGAGCTCCATCCAAGCCATGCCCTTCCTTAGGCTGAAAAAAATAACCAAAAACCACATTAGGATTTGAAATGGGCAGGAACTGGAGAGGTGGGTAAAGTGGCTGCCCTGTTAAAGCAGCAAGGTGCCTTTCAGATGGCTCAACCCAGAAAGCACCTGATGCCTGGCCTGGTGACCTGAGTTCTGTCCCTAGAATGGAGGCTGGGAGGGCGGGTGCTGTAAATCGGCATCTGGCCACATGCCAGTGTACACATATTCCCTCCACACAGTAATAAAAAAAGGTTAAATTTTGTTTAATTAAAAAAAATTCCAGCAAGACACTATAAAATGTTTGCATTATGAAGACACATTCATCTGTGTGCACATGCACACACGTGGAGACCAAAGGTCAATATCAGTGTCTTCCTCAGTTGTTCTTCACCCGATTTAACAGGTTCTCCACAGAACCTGGAGCTCACCAATTCAGCTAGGCTGGCTAGCCAACAAGCCCCAGGAATCTCTGTGTCTCCACAACCTCAGCTATAGAACTGCAGGAGTTCCACTACACTCGGCTTTTTCATGGGTGTGGGATTTGAACTCAGGTCCTCAGGCTCAAACAGCAAACACTATACCCACCAAGCCATCTCCCAACCCCCACCTTAAAACACTAAAGGCTGAAGAGTGTAGACAAGTAGACAAACAGGTGTCTCCGCAGGAACATTGGAGGGGGTGACTCTGAGGCAATGCTGCCAGCTTACTGTGACTGACTGGTTTGTGGGGACAAGGTTTTGCTAAGTATCCCAGGCTACACCATCAAGGGTTCCTTCCCATTTTGTTATTTTACCACAATATTTTAGAAATCAGCACATCTCTTACAGAGATGATCCCTGGTTGTATGTAAAGTGGGGACTCATTAATGTTTTCTTTCTTGAGAGTTTCTGAATAGTCGAAATTAGCAGAGAAACCCAATGCCCCTGAAGCCAAGCCCTGAGATATAAGGGCAGCCCATACCAAGCCCCAGCCTTCCAAAACCCTTGCTGCATGGCTGGGGTCTCTATGGTACCATCAGGGTGGCCTTCACTGCACGTCAGTGGAGTGGGGAAGGAGAGGGAGAGAGTTACAGATTTGCTCATTAATGTTCACAACAGCTTCATTCCCTTGTTTTAGGTGTGTGTATGTGTGCACACACAGGTATGCATGTGCTTTTGTATTCAAGCTGGCCTAGAACTCATAACCCTCCTGCTGCAGCCTCCTGAGCACTGGGTTCACAGGCGTGTAACATGTAACACCACACCCGGGCACAGCTTCATTTCTAATGGCTCAAACTGCAAACCATTCCAGTGCCAGCCAAAGAATGATAGCAAAGTCTACTGAGGTCCACCTCTGGGATGGAATAGAAACACAGTGATAAAAAGGGCTAAAACCTGACCAATCTCAGAACAACAGGATTCTAAGTGAAGAGATAAGGGCGGAGTAAACAAGCCCATGACTGTGGCTAGCTCAATTGGTCTGAAAATCTAAGAGGTGGAAACCAGTCTCTACGGAGAGAAAGCTGAGGTAGGCTGCTTGGGGGAAGGAAGGCTGGAGGCATCAGAGAGGCAGGGGTGGTGTCTGGGTGCAGTATAGATGTTCACCACCCTTGTGTGGCAACGCTGCATGGGAAGACGAGGGTGGAAGCTCGGCCACTTGGGCACTTTAAGTCTGTGTTCTTTATGACTATCAACTGCACCTCAGCAAAGATGTGTCAAAAGGAAATAAAATAGTAAGACCAGAGAGAGTGTCAATCACAAACCAGTTACATGAGCACCTGACTGGGAGCTTTTTCCTATGAGCCAGAGCACAGAGAAATGGCTTTTGGCACCTGAACCACTTCTGTTTGTTTATTTGGGTTTTGGTTTTTTTGAGTCAGGGTTTCTCTGTGGCTTTGGAGGCTGTCCTGGAACTAGCTCTTGTAGACCAGGCTGGTCTCGAACTCACAGAGATCCGCCTGCCTCTGCCTCCCAAGTGCTGGGATTAAAGGCATGCGCCACCACGGCCCGGCGTCTGAACCGATTCTGTTATGGGGTGGTGAGCCAAGGGGAAGATCTCAAAGAGGGAACCAGGCAAAGTTTCTCCCAAGTTTTTGTGTTTTTGAGACCACCCTGGCTGGTCTCAAACGCACAGAGATCTGCCTGCCTCTGCCTCCCAGGGGCTTGAATAAAGCCACTTAAAAACGGGTGTTCTAATTTTTGCATAGAAAAAATAAATAAATAAATAAATAAATAAATAAATAAATAAATACCCGACAGCCACTTCTGTGCACAGCCTTCAGCTCCCAGGGAAGCAAGAAATCATAGCCCATGGTGTCAGGGACTCTAATATGCCAGCGGCAGGGATGACAAGATTCTGATGCTCTGTGCCCGGACCTGGCAGGTCACTAGCTTCTCCTAGATGGTGAAGGGCACACTTACCTTTTCTCTCCTCTCCCCAGGGAGCTCACCACTGAACACAGCACATTTCTCAAACCCGACCTCATTGCTTGAAGGTGACCGTGAGAACCTGTGACAAAGATGGGAGTTACACACAGCAGAATGACAAGCCTTGACTCCCCAAAGCCTACATTGCCCTCGGCTTGGGTCCCAGGAAGGCTTTGAGAAAGGTCGTGTCATTTATAGTCACAGAAGGCACGGGGACCTGCTGGGAAGGGTGTACCTCAGGCAGAGCATGTCTTGGTAGAAAGAGCCCACCACCGGGGAGAAGCAGCAGGTGCCTAGGTGCTGCTCCCAGCTCCACTCCCTCCTTGTGGGAGCCCCAGTGGCCTGTGGCCTCACTTGAGCCTCTATTTCCTCATCTATAAAGCAGGGATAATTAACGCCTACCACCCTTTTTTATAGGGCAGACATAAGAGGCAAGCCATACCCTAATAACTTTGTGAAGGCGTTTAGGGAAGGCTGAAGGAGCCCCAGGCGGGATAATTAATGGTTCTTAGCAACTGTGGGCACAACATTCACCCACCACCCAGGAGCAGCCACGAGACCTGGGACCCGGGGGCGGTGGGTCCTCATGTCAAGTGTGGACACAGGTTTGCTTCTGCCTCTCTGGGCCTCAGTTTCCCTACTTATAAAAGGGAAGGAAGAGGAGGTTCGAATCTTTTCATCCCTATCATGCTCTGTGTAGCACATGCCTGAACATGAGGCATGACTTGTCTATACAGTGTTTAGGGTTCAGAGCTGGGGACTTGAGAATAAAGAGAAAGAAAAGGAAAGACTAAAGGAAAGGAAAAGGGTGGAGGAGTTCCAAAACATCTGAGCCTGATCCCCACCAGGCAATCCACACTGCTGGGAGGGAGGCCATGAGCGTTCCTAATCTCAGAGACCCAGCTTCCTCATCTTCCATGTCACATAATCACGTGGCTCCTCCCAGGCACCAGGATAGCACAGTGAGATCTCTGCTGTTTCAGTTTGGGAATATCTCTTCCAAAAATCTCCTAACATATAAACCAGTGAACCAGCACCCCCTGAGGCGTGTTGTGAGATGGCTCAGGGGGTAAAGGCATTTGTTGCCAAGTCTGATGACTTGGGTTTCATTCCCTGGACCCAAAGAATTCACGTTGGTCCCTGGCTGCACCAGCTACCAGGGCCTTGAGTTCACCCTCGTGGAAGCATGTAGAGTACTGAGGAGGGTGGATCCCGCCTTGTAACATCTCCCTGCTTCGGCCACAGTGGAAAACAACAAGGCTGGAGGTGTGGGAGGTGTTGTGTGGTACTCTAAGTGTTGGCAATGACCTCAGTTGATGACTCTGTGCACTGAGGGCTACCAGGCTGAGGGCTCCTCTGTGAGGACACTGCCCACATCCCTTCAGAGTTTCTCTCTTATCTGATGGAAGGTCCTGGTGGAATTTTGGTTCTAGTCCCAGATCTATGGAGGCAGAATCAAGAGGACATGGAGTTCAAGGTTATCCTAAGCTACCTAGAGAATTTGAGACAGCCTGGGCTACATTAGACAGTGGCCCTGGTCATCTAGGATGTTGGCTTTATTTTTCAATATATTCATGGATGTTGAGGCCTAATCTCTATATGTGTGTATGTGTGTGTGAGACAGAGAGAGAGAAAGTGTGTGTGTATATGTGAGAGAGAGAGAGAAAGAGAGAGATGAAGAGCGTGTGTGAGAGAGAAAGAGAACTTGTGAATATCTCTTCCAAAAATCTCCCAACATATAAACCAGTGAGAGAGAGAATGAGAGAGGGAGTGTGTGTGTGGGTGTGTGTGTGTGTGTGTGTGAGAGAGAGAGAGAGACAGACAGACAGACAGACAGACAGACAGACAGACAGACAGAGAGAGGGAGATGCTAGGGATATAACCCAGAGCCTTGCATATGCTGAGTGGGTACTCTGTCACTGAGACACACGCTATCCCTGCTCCTCTAATCTAAAAGGCAGTCTGACCCTGGGGACAGCTTAGCCACGGAACCAGGCTGAGCTGGAACTGATCCAGCTTCACTACAGCACCTCACCTTCTCACCTCATTTCCCACTGTGCCCCCATGGTGAGTACCAACTGAGCCCAGCGCTAGGGATGTCCAGACCCTCTTCTCACCTCTGTCTGAGAGCAATCATTACCATTCTCACCTCCCCTCAGGGCAGTGGTGGAATAGGTGTGTGGGTGTTGGGCTAGCCTTGAGCTTGTATGTAGTTATTGGGCTAGCCTTGGGCTCGTCAGTGGGTATCGAGGCAGCCTGAGGCTGAGCGAGGTTCTGGAATGTGTCCACTTACGGTTTGGTCAAATCTGCAGGCAACGACTGCCCCTGTGATGCCCTTCTCCTGACCTCCGGCTTCGTCCCTGCCCTCTCCACAGTCCAGCCTTTGATCAGAGCCTGAACATTCACACCAGCTCTCTCAGGCTCTGGCATTGTGGACTGGGACTCCGGGGTCACAGGCGAGGGCTCGGACACCACTGCCAAGGCTGCAGCACTGCCTTCCTCAAACAGGCTGAGGCGCTTCCTGATGCTCCTGGCAGACTTCCTCTCCATCCCTGCAGGAGCCTCCTGGTCAGACACTCCACCCTTGACCTGGGCCAGCCCCAGGCCTCTTCCTGGCCTGAGCAAAGGGGGCTCCAGCACCTTCTCTGACTGCTGATCTGGCTTTTCCTCAACCTGGAGACTCTGATCATCTCCAGGGATGACCCTGGCCCTTGGAGTCCTGGGACTGTTTGTATCTGTCTGCTTAAGAAGAACCTTCTCCCTCCGTGCATGGAGCCTCTTGGCCACCTCCTGGAAGTCTGAATCTGGGTCCTGAGGGGTGGTGTTCATGCAGGCAGGACCCTCTACATCAGCCCTGCGCTCCATGCTGGTCCTCTCTGGGCCCTGGGGCTCTGTTACAGTCTGCTCACCGGCCACCTTCCTCAGCAACGTCTCTCTGCTCTCAAACGCAGCCGTCAGGTCCATAGACAGAGGCCTGGGTTTCCTCACCCATGTCTTCTCCGGAGGTGTAGGGGGAACTTTGCCCATGACTGCCACTCCACCTGGGCCTGGTTTGGGGGGCTGCAGGTAGTCGCTGAACACTGCTGACATGGGCCGTCTCTTGGGGTGAGGCTTGGCCTCTGGAGCCTGGCCAGCGGGGTCCTCCACACTGTGGGCCTTTGGCAAAGGTTGGGCTCGGCCTGCCTCCTCCTGGGATACAGCAGACCCAGCATCCTGTGACAGGGAGGTTGGTCGGGGCAGAGTCACTGGGGGCTTTCGAGTAGGGAGGGCAGGCTTGGCAGCCACCTCAGGCCTGGCACTTAAGGGAGATACCTGGGCTGCTCGGGAGCTAGACTCCAGGCTCCTCTCACTGGTTCCTTTGCCCAGGCTGGGTCCAGCTTTGGTCGTTTCAAAGAAGCCCATGGTACTGGGGCCAGACCTCAGGAACGTGGCCTTGTTAGGTACAGACGGGCCATTCTGCAGGGTCTCCCCACTGTCTGCCTCCTGACCAGCTAAGCTCGGCATCCTTCTGGCCAGGACCTCTTTGGCCTCCTTCTTGTCGGTCTCAGCTGAAGGACAGGACTGGGTGGTACCAGGAGCCTTCTTCTCAAGGACCTGCTCCTTAAGAAAAGGTTTAGGAGCAATGGGCAGAGGGAACAGGTGGGTCCGTAGGGGGCTTTTAGCTCTTAGGAGCCTAGTGGAGGGAGCCCCAGGGACGTCCCCAGTCTGGCAAAAGTAGGTCCTCTTCAGGGCTTCCTCCCTGCTGATGTCACCAAGGCCCGGCCCCGCCCTCAGGGATGCGATAGAGCCAACTTCGACCCTCGTCACCATGGTTACGGATGTAGCTCCATGAGGATTAAGCACACCAGAAACGAGGAAGCAACTGCTTAAAAAAAAATTTTAAACAGTAAATTTAGCAAAGCGTATTTGTAGGACTCAGAGTGAGGGTCTGGGGTAATGAGACCCAGAGACCTTAGCCCCAGAGCCCCAGATCCTAATCTCACCGGGCAAGCTCCAGATGCACAGCCATCCTGCTGGGCCCTGGAAAGGCACAGACAGTGACCTTCTGTTCAGAGAAGTCAGGCAAAGCCCTGTGGTCTGAGGCCTTACCTGGCTCAGCCAGTCTGGAGGCAGCTCCAGCAAACCCAGGATGATTACCCAGCAGAGAGAGAGTAAATAACCATCCTCGACTCACACAGCCACGCAAAGCAGGAGGCTCTGGAAATTCTGATAGTGAGGGGCCACGGAACCCTGCCAGCTGCCTCTCCCCATCTCCCCAAGTGCTAATAAAAAACAAAGTCCTTGGGAGTTTTGTTTTGTTTTATTTTCACTCAACCGACTGTTTTCTGTTTGCTATTGGTTTTGCTGTTGAACAACTGTTTATGCCGGCTTCCTTGTTTGTTTTGGTTGTTGGTTTTGCAGTGGTGAGAACTGAACCCAGGGCTTCATGCATGCTGCACATTCTCCATGCTGCACCAGACCCAGCCCCTTAGAGTCGTGGCTAGGATGAGGGCTTATTGTTGAGAGGCCTAGCAACGCCAAGTGCATCTGCTACTCTACCCATGTACCACATCCTCCCTGCAGGCAGGGTCTCACTTCCCAGTGGCCTGGATGCCACTAGCCTGACTTGCTCAGCTTTGAGATCTGCCCTCAGGCAGGAGCACCTGAATCCTCCAGCAGCTCAGAGAGGTGGGGATGGTAGAAGAAAATAGGCCCAGAGAAGTCCCCAATTGGTTTCACTCAGCTAGAACCAGGCCTCCCGTCCTGGCCCATTATGCCTGGTCTTTTTTGTTGTTGTTTGGCTGACCTCGAATTCGCTACCTAGCCAAGATTGACCCTGAGCTCCCCAGTGTCCTCCCTCCACCCACCAGGTGCTGTGATTACAGGTGAGAGCCACACTGTTGAGTTTCAGCCCTGCCTCTGTAAAATACAGCTTTTCTAGCTTGTCTCTAATCCTCAAAGAATCCTAAGAGTCTCCCTGCTCTTGACCCTCCCTGCTTCGGCTATGATAGCCGGCCCTTCCTAACTACCCCAGATATGGCCCAGCTTCTCCAGGTGATCAGAAGGGAGACAGTGTCCTGATTAACCAAGGACCTCCCAGGCCTTGTGTGGCTCCTTCACTGCAGGGAATGAAAGCAGACAGATTTGGCATTTTTCTCCTCATTACACACCCCATGGACTAACAGATTCCACTGAGAATATGGTCTCCACTCAGCTGGGAGCAGAATGGAGATTTGGGAGACCTAAGAGTCTGCCGTTTTCAATATGAACAGTCCCCAGGCATGCCCTAAAGTCTCATTCCCACTCCAAACCAGGGACGCTCACTTTAGAGTCTCGGTGGGCTCTCAAAGCCCATTCTACAACTCACACCCAGCCAGGACTTGGGACACTGACAGTGCACAAAGGACAGACGGAAAATTCCCCAGCAACCTCACCTTCCCAACACCCAGCCCCCAGCTCAGCACCCACTTACCTAGGCTGTCAAGTCCTGAGGGAAGGACACAGGACCACCTGGGAATGCCAGCGGGGTCACAGTTCATGATGAATGGGCCGTCCACTCATGCCCATGGCAGAAGCGGCAGGGAGAAGAAGGCTGTGCCCACAGGCTGTCTCTGCAGGGCTGGGGAGACACAGAAAGACAGCTTGGTTCCGGAGTTCCTTCCGCACAGACGGTGCAAACGCTTTCGGGTTCCAACTGCATCCGCTGGCGTCTCCTCCAGCTCTCAGACTCGCACTCCTTTCTATATTCATGCACAGCATGCAGGGTCCATGCAGGTGCTCAGTATATGCCTACCCTCCTCCCTCCCCAGACACATATTTACTGAGCACCTACTGTGTGCAGGAATATGAACTAGAGACCCCCTCCAACCTTTGTGTGTGACACACTCATGCACACACATGCATGAATACACACTCATGCATGAACACAGACCCATACACCCATGCACACACACTCACTAATAAACACATATACTCACACTTGTACTCATACACCCCTATACCCACACCCACACACGGACACAGTCATACACACATATGCATGAACACACACTCACACACTCAGTAATGAACACACATACTCATAAATGTACTCATACACCTCCACACACATACACACTGACACATTCATGCATACACAAGCAGCTGTAACACTGCACATGGAGAGCAGTGGTCTATAATGGGATGGGGAGCCTATGAAGAGGGCTGGGGGGTATTCCACAGCCCAGAGACTGGTGCCTTGTGACTGGTGTTCTCAACCTGCAGCTGCTGGCACTTGAGGCATCTGCAGCCATGCACGGTGGCACATGCATGGGGAGGTGGAGACAAAAGGATCAGGAATGTAAGACCAGCCAGGCTAAACGAGACCCTTTCTCAAAACCAAACCAGACCAAAAGGTTTCGGCTGACTGTCTCTATACTAATCATCACATCTACACACTGAAGCCCCTGGAAGCTCTCAAGTCTCCTCAGGACCTTTGCATGTACTGGGCTGTATCTTTGGACTATGCCTCTTGCTCACACACAGATGCACACCTTGGGCCCAACCCTTGGGCCGAATTCAGACAAGCCTGGCCTCACATGGATGCTTACAGAGCACCAAGGACAACAGGAAGTCCACGGGACTTGACTAGGACATGATCCTGGCTCTACATTGAGTAGCAAGCTCACAGGGCACCCCATCCCCTGCACAATGGCTGATCACAAAACAGCACGTAGTGGATAGTCATTGGATAAATGAAAGGAGAGAGTCTTCTGACCCTGATCCCCACTATTCTAAGAGGATGGCTAAGTCCCAACCTGGGTTCCTGCAGCAGTTGGGGACTCAGAGTCACAGTGCTCACCTGAATATTCACCAACTAATCATAGCCCCATTGTCAGACTGGGTGACCCATGGGCACCCTCCCTCCAGTGGCCATCCACCTACAGTGGCCACAGTCATTTTATAGCTGTGCCAGCATGACAATGCACACGTAGACAGATGTGCCTCTTTATGGTTTAAATAGAGGCAATGTCACCAGGGCAACCAATGGTGCAAAAATGTCAGCCACTGGGGTATCCCTAAGCCAGCCCCAGAGGCCTGACACAGATGCCAACAAGGATATGGGTGAAAGCAGAAAGCAAGCATGTTGGTTCATAGTCTCCAATTCACATACAGACTTACACCAAGGAATCAATGACTTGGTGAAGAGATCCATGAGCCAAAGAAGTTCTGAAACCATAGAAGGGGGCACCTAAATAATCACACCCAACCTTAGAAGCCCAGGATTCTCTGCTTTTCACAGAACCTGCTGCAAATGGCAAGGAGCCCATTTAGACGCTTTTAAACTCAGCTTCGAACGCATCGCATATGCTATGCCCAATTTGAGATCGAAGTCTCTTCCAGAACACAGCAGAAGCCCACTAGCACTGAACTGGCTGCTATTTATTCCTGGGGTGGCCTCACTCACTGTGTATATGTGTAGAATTGACACACCATGAGTAAAGAGGCACTTAGGAAAAGGAAGGAAACTGAGTCTAAACAAGTCTCTCTCTCTCTCTCTCTCTCTCTCTCTCTCTCTCTCTCTGTGTGTGTGTGTGTGTGTGTATTAACTGTCTGGCTGGTTGATTTCGCAGAACAGAGGATTGAACTCAGGGTCTTATGCATGCTAAGTAAGGGCTCTCTCTCCCAGTCCCTGGTTCATACACGATCACTGAAATCATGGTTTGCAGGCAGAGATCCTCTGGGAGTCGGGAGGCTGGCTGCACCAGGAGAGCAGGAATCAACCTAACAGACCCTCAGTTATAGCTGAACCTGGGGACACATGCTTTGGTCTCTCTGAATCCACTGGCCAACTTCACATTCCCACTCCCTACTGCTGTGTGTGGAGGAAACCACTGGTTGGAGGAATCATCTAGCAACAACGCAGGGCAGGAAATGAGACAAAAGTCACCAGAAAGCACTCTTGGGTACGTGCGTGGAACCCTCCCTGCAGAGTCCAGCACTCTGTGGCTTGAACTGGGGCTGTGGGAGCTTTCCACTCCAAATCAAAACATAAAGGTTCAGCTCACAGACTCGGGGCCTTGCTTCATCGTGGCAGCTGAGGCTGTGCTGTGTCATGCCGCCTTCAAATGTATCTGGATGCTCACCAGCCATTTGCTATGCTGTCTCAGTGCCCAAGTCCTGAGAATGCCACCATCTGGCAAGGGACATGGGCCAGGACTCACACCTTTTCATCATCTTCCACAACATGACCTAGACCCCGAGTCTGCAAAGCCACCCTGAGCAAACCAGTCACTGAGGGAAGAGGCAGGGCACACAGGTCTGTTCACCATAGACCCCAGATGGCCTGGGCACAGTCATTGGGTCAGAGGTCACTGAAGTGTGTCCATTCTTTCCTTGGTCCTCACAATGGCAGCCTCATGTCATCCATTCCTGTGCAGACAGGGCAGGGGCTGAGGACACTACAGTGGTAGAGCACCTAGCAAGCGAGAGGCCCCGTGTTTCAGACTCAGTGCTGCAAGGCACTCACGCACACACGCACACTCACCAGGTGCGAGGGTACACACCTGTCATCCCAGCTCTTGGGAGACTGAGACAGGGAAATTGTGAATTTGAGACAAGCCAAGCTTGGAGAGGGGCACTAAAATATCACCGAACATCACAGCTGAGCTTCCCCGGTTCTCCCTTCATGAACTTGTTGCATATCAAGTATTGACCAGCTCGTGAGTACTGAATGAAGGCTTATTTTATGGACTATGCTTGGCTCCTCTTGAGACCCACACTGCTGGGAGAGGGTATGGTCCACAGCCGCCAGCCCAGGGACAGAGCAGAATTCAAAAAGTAAAGTACCG